TCTGCGACCCATTGCTTTGAAATACCGCGTCTTCTCACAACCTCTTTCCCACTGCATGCAAAATACTACAAATCGCTGTACCAGCCCCAATCGCTGGATGACCAAAGCTGTGCGGCATTGCTTCCAAGTTGGGGAAACGCACATTGTCAACGCTATGACACGAGATGCTTGACAACCGAAGAGGTTGCCCGAGCAATTCCTTTAACACAACAAATTAGCACACACACAAATGGTGCAAAATGTTGCGTAGTCATAGTTTGATGAAACGCAAAACAAAGCAAACGTTTTCGCTCGAATAGTCCTCTATGTATTTTGAAACAGCCTCTGCAGGTGCCCCAAGCCTTGAGCTGTACAATCCACCATGCAAACAATAAAAAATAAACTGCAGTTCTACAATAGTTCTTGAGCACCGTCCCTGCATGTCTAAAAATGGTAAAAAAGAGCAGCACATGTAACTTGAGGATGCAGCTGCTGCATTGCTCCGCTCCAAAGACCAAAATCAACACCCGAGCCTCAAACTAGCAAGGATGAAATCAGCACGTGTGCCTCCTACCGACCTGCACTTCTGGCCTTGACAAACTTCAAGACTCAAGACTGAACGGCATTCCAAGTTTGATCATTGTTTGCCTCTATGTCCTACGACATATACGATGTTTCCATACGATGCTGCACCACATCCCAATGCCCGCCACTTGTCTTCGACTTCTCGTTCTGGTTCTGCAATTCTCTTACCCGGGCAATCATAACCTTCGACCTGAGGCCGAGCTTAAACTCCCAAACCGGGAAAAAGACAGAACGTCAAACAATTGAGCAGCAAACGGGTTCTGCACATCCCCAGTTAGTGGACGTGCAATGACCTTACGTTGGCTCTCTGGACCTGAGTTTGACCAAGGTGCCAAACACAGAAAAAAAGAGTCGCTACTGAGAGTACTAAGAAAGTTGCTCAGGGTGCGAATCTTCAAGGTAGCTTCGGAATTTATGTTGTTTTCTTCGATGAAGCGGTCCACCTGCCAACAATAACAATAACTCAGTGGGCCGAATTGAAAACTGCTCTGGTGGAGCATGGTGGAGCCTCTGGCAAACGTACAGGTGTTCGTGAGCGCTCCTTTTCCTGGAAGCACAAGCGCTAATCCGATCGAAATCTCCAAAACATTCAAAGCATTTAAGCTTGTCACACGACCCCGCGAGCGCCCGCGTCGACGTCCACCTGCGCTGCGAAGCACAAAGCTTGAACTGGAAACACTCGGTTGCAAGTTGCAACGAGAAAGAATGCTATTAGTTAAGTTTCCCCAAAAAACTCGAGCGCTATCCTGCGTCCAGTAGGTCCAGCTACTAGCTACCTCTCTAGCGGCCTACCCCCCCCGCCAAAAAGAAGAGGAAACCACTGAGTGGTGGACTTCTTGGACTTCGTGACCTTCTTTTTCCTCCCATCCTGCCGACCATAAACCCACAAATGACTTTTCAACTGGAGAGGCACTAGGCACTACTAGGCATTCCAGGAAAACACGAGAGCGACTTGGCTTGCAATCTTGACAAGAACAAACACATCGCAATCTTGCTTCACTCAGACTCCCCCGAATGCGCACACGACTGGGCTGAGCACTCCTGTAGTCACACAATCCTTGTGAGGACCTCCACCTCAGTGATTTGGCGTCTCAAAGATCCCGGTCTTGGCGACCGTGTGTCTCTCGGTCTGGCTCGAGCTACTTTTTCAAGGGCAATCTGTGCAGGTTCCCTTCTGCTTTGGATATGCGAAGGGTTGCTGGTTTTGTTGTGAAGAGTGTCAGGAAGAGCGTGCTTCTCAGCTGTTCCACAACAAATGCCATCCAGCAAAACAAGAAAACGCACCGTCAAGAGACTCCGCAGCACATCTCAGACGCTGACCCCACGAGCCCACGTTTGGCTGTTTCAATCAGAATAGATATTGAAAGCTAAGCAGTGAGAATGAATGGAAAGCGCTCTGTTTTAATCTCTTCATATTGCCTCCGCTGCTTGGCTGCTGAGGTTACTTTTGATTTTGCAAGTCTTGGTTGCCGCAATCACAGTAGCTTGATCGGATCTGATCCAATGTGAAAACATTTGAGCCTGAACACAAAGTGCCGGGAAATCCACCTTTTCACGACGTATTGAGCTGCACAGTCATGGTATCCCATCAATGCATTTCTTCGATTTTCTTGCGACTCGTGCTCAAGCAAAATTCAACCTCATCACGCAAAAAACATCTTCTCAAGTCCCTTGCGAGCGCCACTTTTCCTACAATGTCTTGTCTGCTCCAGTTGATAATTGTTGACTGGCATTTGTAGTTCGTTTGAAAACACGTGTGCATCTGGTTGGCACCACCCTGATTCAACATAATTGGTTCGTCATTTGTTGGAAAGGCCGCGGATTTTTTAGCTGGATATTTTTTGGTTTTTATTGGTACATTGATTTCTAGGGCTTCAGTCTTCTGTAGTTCTAAAGAGATTGAAATTAATTCAATTTGATGTTCAATTAGTTTTACCGTTGTTAATTTAACATGTCCTTTTACATGTCTTCGTATTTTTTGCTAAACTTCCTTGTAATATCTCTTTTCAATGGACATGTCTTCTTTGGATTTCCTTTGAAATGTCTTTGCAATTTCACTTTAGGTGTCCTTTAGCTTCTTTAACATGTCCTTTTCATGTCCCGTCTAAATTTATTAATTCTAACTTGTTTTTGTGAAATGTCCTCTTAACTTGCTTTTCCTTTGATCTTTAAATGTCCTTTGAAGTTTTTAAAGTTCCTTCTTAAAATGTCCCTTCAAATGCCCTTTCAATTTCCTATATTCCCATGGTTCTTCTACATGTCCTGTTTTTTCTTAAATTTCTTAAACTGCCCTTATATGTAAATAGCCTTTTACATTTGCTATTGAGTTCCCTTTTACATTCCTTTAAGAATTCCTTTGCAATGTCTTTTTGAATGTCCTTTCAGCTGTCCTTTTAAATGTCCTTTTCAAGGGCTGCGCGTGTTTCGTGACATGTGGACGCTTGAGTGAGACCTAGATAGCTCTACCCGAAACTATTTCTACGCTTAAACAATAACAGCGGGAGGAGCGCGGGGAGGGCGCAGCGCCTCCCCCCGCAATGCAAATTAGTCACAACAGCAGTCTGACCGGTTCATAACCATGGCACAGTTGGCTGGTTTGTGGTAGTGTAACTTGGCACGACCAAAGACCGATGTCACGGAGTTTCCCCAATGAATCTTCCTTTGACAACTGCATTGGTCTCTGCGCTGGGTATCTGGGCAAAGTTTTGCAACTGCATTCCTTTCTTCCTGCCTTCCTGCCTTCCTTCCTCCCTTCCTTCCTTTCTTCCTTCCTTCGTTCCTTCCTGCCTTCCTTCCTCCCTGCCTTCCTTCCTTCCTCCCTTCCTCCCTCCCTCCCGCCAGCTAAGCCAAAAAAAAAATATACAACTAAAAAAACAAAATATACCACTAAAATATACACCCCGTAAAGAATACTTGAAAGATCGTGTGTGAAGATGGGAAACAGAGTTAAGAGACTGGATTCCGCTGGAAGAGATTGACTAGGGTGTTTTTCCAATTGTTCTGCTGACAATGTGGTTCAAAAAGTATCCAAGCGTTTCACATGTTTGCTTCAGAAATCCTGTGTTGTTACTTTGTCAATGCGCTGATAGGTTGGCGGGTTGAGCGGGTCAGCTGAAGCCTAACCTAAGAACATTGGAAAAAGGAAGGAGGACACACCTTGCTCATGATCTCTCAACTCAAAGGGGTTGGCATGCAGAATGTTCATGCGCGACGGCCTTTGGGTTTTTGGACAGGCTTTCCTCAATTCGAATTGTGGGCACCTCGCCACAACACCCTCCGTGAGTTCAAGGTTTGAGCCAAAGCTCCTTGGACGCATGGGTTGAAGTCCCCGCAGGCTGTGTCGCAACCAATGTGATCATTGGGCGAGGTGCGGAGCTGGCAAGTTTCGAATCGGGGCGACAAGAGCGGCAATGGAAAGACATACAACCGTCTCAACCCGCGAGAGCAAGTCGAAAATGAAAGACATACATCGCACATCACCAGAGAAACCCACTCGCGTTGGCTGGCTTTAGCTAGCATCCGATGGAACTTTCTTGGCAAACCTGTTTTCACCAGCAGAAATCTTTGTCCACTTTCAAAGCGGTTTCCGCTGGTCTGCTTGGGTGGATCTTTGAGGCAAAAATTGGTCTTCACGTGCAAATGCCAGTCGCCCTTGGCGCGCATGGCAATTGGTCTCAACGAAGCAATCTCATCTCACAAGGCAGACATGATTGGTCCAAGCGACCATCGCTGTCCACAACTCAAACACCAACCAACACCAACTGTTTCACAAACTTCCTCTACCAGGTACAGTCTACCCTATGTATGTCATATTGTGTCATCATTCCAATTTGGCAACTCTTCCAGGGATAAACGGTTGTGTGGCTTAAAAGGTAGTTTTGACGACAACTTGCCCTCAGCCTGTCTTTGGGCCCGGCCTTTCAAGAAAAACCTTTGTGTTCTCCAAAATGGTAAGGGTTGGTGGATGCGGTGTCACGTTGTCAAATGTATTGGCAATCCCATCCAGAACAACACTGCTAGATTGGACTAGGCTAGAACGTGTCGCGCGGGGGATCCCTCACAGCAGGCTCGAACTAATGGTTGCCATGTGTTTGATGTCGAATTCAAACCTCTCTCTTTGCAAATCGAAGGAGGCTCCTAACCCACCCTGTTTCTCTTGGCCGTCCGAACCCGCAGGGCCAGGCAATGAGATGTCCAAGTAATTACCTGGCTAATCAAATCTAAAATTTCTTCTGGAAATGAGGTTTGTCTACGCTACATGCAACCCAGGAAGGGGACCAAAACAATTCAAATCAAACCGATTCTTTCGCAAAACCCCATCGCCATCCTAGTGCAAACTTTCGATGCACGCGTTGAGCCCACGATCCTGGATTGTAGTGGAGAGGGAGTTCTAAACCATGGTGGCAAAATTTGGTGGGCCTCTTACCTCAAAGATACCAACACACATGCCGAGCACAAATCCAGAAATTTGAGCTTGCGCGGCATCTACACTGATTTACACGATCTAAAACTCAGCGGAACTGTACACTTGCTGCTGTCGCCAAAGCGCGATCATTTTGGACAGGAGGCCCTCATGGCGGCGAAAGCAAGATCTGAAAGACTTCTTTCTGAGTTCATGGAATGAAAAATCAAGAGCCAACCTGCAGTTACTCCGGTTTCACATGGACTTTCTGGAGTAAACTATATATTGCAACGAGTGGCCAGAATCTGAATCAAGCGAACAAGACTTTCCGGAGATCAAAGGAATACGTCATTGCTTAAAGCAAGAAAAACAGCATCTCTTCCAACCGTTCCAGCCTTCACCCGGACAAGGCTTTTCTTTGTCTCCAAGTCCACCATCTTCTCGCGCACGTTGGCACCCGAGACTGGGGATGCAGTTGTGGCTATCCGCATGATGGAATGAGTGCGATCCATGCCTGGGTAGGGCTGCAATAAAACCCTTTGTGTCGCCTTTTGTCTCGAAACCTGAAGAGAAAGAGAGAAGACTTTGAGCTTGTTCTTCAGTTTTGCCGTCAGAATCGACAGAATCCAGAAAAAAATCGACCTTTCTTTCATTCGAGGCCATGCGGGTTTCATCGCTCTATCCGTCCAAGGTGCGATAGCGCAGGATCCCAAAACTCACCCATGGCCAAAACTCAGCAATCGTCTTTCCTTAGAAAACCCAACCTTTTCCGAACCATTGAGACATTCCCAGGTTTCTCAACTTGGAAAGCCCCAAAAGAGTCACAAAAAGCAACACGCTGAAGTCGTGAATTTTGCATGGCTGAAGTTCTCTGAAATTCGCCTGCGCTGAGGGATCCAAACTATTTGATTCTGATTTCCAAACTGAAAACTGAGGGCCAAATGGAGCCCACTTGGCCACGCCCACAAAGATAGCCGTCTCTGCCAAGTGTCCCATCTGGTGAAACATCACGAAGAAGGCTACAGCGCGTTGTAAGGAGGCAATTCTACTCTCATAGAGCATCATGGATAAACGCTGGGACTCGGTCATCTTGAACTGATCCTTCTCGCTCCAAACTCGTTCAGAGTCGCCCGAAACCCGAATACATGATTAAAGCCATCTTCAATAATTCAAATCGCATGCATCGCTACTAGTAACGTATATGTTACTTTCTCCTTGGCAGACATGTCAGAGTTGATGAGCCGAGCACCGAAGATGCGCTCAGTCGATTCCTGAATGTTGAAGTGGTCCATGGAAGAAGGCGAAGTGTTACGAGCCAGCTGGGCATATGACATCAAGCTCACAGAATCCAGCTGCAAAATGGCTTTACATTCTGATGGACTCAATGCGCCATTGTAGTTTTGGTCAAAGCGATCAAAAACTGCTTTGAGATCCTTCCGGTCAAGATGGTGAGTAGGCATAAACTCCTTGAAACCGCGTTCGAAGTCCTTGAAGGAGACTTGCCCGTCGCTGTCTTTTTGTAAACTCGCCAGCATTGTCTCAACCGAAGAGCTTGCTATCCTCTTCTTGCTGGTGTTGCTCAAATCCTCTCGCAGCTTGGCCCACAAGTCGTTGGACTCGACTGAATCAGCCAAATTGCCAAAACAGCCTTGCAAAGCTGTAGCACTTTGCACACCTTTGGGAGAGACCAGTTTTGCCATATATTGAAGAGAAAGCAAGACATCAAACACAGATAAGGGCAATTGCGGCAAGGGTGTATGATTTCAAGCAAAAAAACAGTTGAGGGCCCCTTTACCGTCTCCCAACCTGGTGGCAATAAATGCTCACACAAGAACTGTGGCCTTGAGCCTTGCAAGCAGACATGATGAGCTGTGAGAGGCAGCTTGTGAGGATTGTGTCCAATAGTGATGCTCTCGCAAGTCACTCCCAATGACTGGATGCTGCTGGCCTGCCGGATTCCCACACTTAGATGGTTGCTCGCAAGAGCTAGGATCGGTACGAAGTCCCCCTTGACTGGAAGAAAAGTGTACGAACCGAAAGGCGAGGAAGTCCGTAGATTCGGAGGTGTTTAACAAGTTGTTTTGGTGCACTAGCGGCTTACTGCAAAAACACAGAATTAGACAGCTTGGTCAACAGTTCCACCGGCAATCTTAGCAGGTACGTCTGGCCGATCAGGCGAGATATCCGCATGTGCTGTGGCCGCTTTGTTGGACCATCGCTCACAGCACATGGATGGTCCCCCTGCTGCTGTATAGTAGGGAATTGTTAGAAACAGTCCAGAAGTAAAAGGATCAGAACAGTGGTAAGGTATGGATTGAGAAAACCTTAGAGACAGGCGTTGACACACACAGATGGCCGTGGTCGGCGCTCTCTGTGGGGGAGAGAGGGTTCGAGGAAAACCTCAAAAGTGAAGCAGCTCGGAGCGCGGACCTTTTCGGAGTGCTTGCCGACAGCTGTGAAGATCGTGTCCTTTTTGGACACAAAGGTTTGCTAGTTGAGCGAGCGCTCCTCGACAGCCGAGGACGGGTAGGTGTACCTGCAGAGATGCGCTCTGGAGTGAAAACCTGAAAGTCGTAAGCGTGTAGAACCAGCTGAGGCGTGATCGCGAATTTTCCATGAGGCATCGGGTGGTAGTCCGTTGGTGAAGGTCCACGTCAAAGCCAAGAAGATGCATGTCCTCCACTGGTTCGAGCTCCACTGGGTTGCCATAGAAGTCGGGGTGACCGAGGGTCTGTATGGCCAGGTGGGTGAGGAATGTCCGGTTGAAGGCTATGAAGCGGTTGTCCACGTAGCGGTAGTAGACAAAGTGGATCTCGGTGTGGTCCGTCAAGGAGTGATGGAGCTGATGCCATGAGCGCTCGATGAAAGTGATGGCGACATTGCACAGCGCAGGAGAAAGCTGGGAGCCAATCCCGGCTGCAGGAAGTAGAGAGTGCAAGCCTTAAAAATGCAAGAATCGAGAGCTAGTGCTACGATAGTGGTAATGTCGCTCGTGTCCAGTGTACGTTGTGTTGGATGTTTGCGATGATGGCGGCCGATGTGGGCTAGCTGGATTGGATCGCCGGTTGTGTGGGTGTCAACGGTGATGGTAGGAGTATCAAAGGTATGTTGCCATCTGTTGATCAAGCTTTGAACAGCATCGATTAAGCGATCTTGAGGACTGAGTTGAAGAAACCCACAAGGTCATCGTTCACAGCGTAGAGGTCCACATGGTCCCGGGGTGTGATGAAGGTAGTCATGGAAGTGGTCCTGGTGATTGAGGTAGGAGCCGGTGAATCATAGCGTTAAGGACATTGGATGTGACGCGCAACAATGGCCCGTAGTGTGACTTGAAGTAGGAAATGATAGCGCGGCCTTTCTTCCATTGTTTCTTGGCCTTCAAGTGAACAACCCCATAGGGCATGTTGAAGTTGGTGATGAAGCCCCATTTGTATTTTCTGCGCAAGTGGGCGGGGTAGGTCTGTTGTATGATGCTAGAAATGGTCTGGTCGGTATCGTCTGGCAATGGTTGGAAAAGTTCTGGTGATTGCCATGTGGCCAAACAGCCATGAAAGTAGAGGGCAGAAAATGCGGAGATGTTGTAGTTCGTGATCAGCATGGTGGAGGACGACGGTGTCGCCCAAAAATTCTTGCAATTGCTTGATGGATCTGGCGGTGAATCTGTCTTCGTGTTGTAGGTGATGTAGATGGTTGGTCCAGTGTGCGGTGAGAAAAGAGTCGGCATAATGGACCAAAGTGGTTGGCAATCCGCGATGTTTCAGCCATTTGGTGAGGCTACGCCGAAAGGTATCCCAATAGCGATGCTTGGTGGCAAGAGGAGGCTGCGAAGGTGATTGCAGCCACACGGGAGCTGGTCGGCTTGGGGGGTTGCCCAATTTGGTCTTCCCATCCACGGTGCTTTTGGAGACGACTGCGTAGAGTAGGATGTGCTGCTTCTCGTAGACGACGCGTATAGGGAGGTGGAGGGGAATGGCAAAGTGTTTATGTTGGTTGAGGATAGTGGCGAGCCATCTTTGGGCGTCGGCTTGGAAGTTGGAGTGTGCTAGGAACGGTATGGTCAAAGGAAGATTGCTCTTGGGTGGTGTGAGGTTGCGAGAGCTCAAGGCTTGGTTGATAAGGCGAGTGGCCCGACTGCGTCCTGGTTCTTCGAGGCTGGTGGCCATACGACGGACGGCGTAGACTTCAAGGTCACTGTATTTGCCTGAGCGGAGTTGGCGCGCAGCTTCAAAAGATGCATGGGTGTGTTTTGTGAGGTCGCGAAGCATTGTTTGGAACGAAAAGTGGAGGAGGGGAAGTAGAATAATAAAGCGGCTAGGTGGAGCAATCCCACGGCATAGATGGCTTCAGCGCGATCAATGTAGCTGGCATGGTGTTGGACGTGGGCTAAGGCTTTGTGTATTGTGCGTATATGGTGAAGTATGGTGTGAGTGGGTCCTCGGCTGCTGAGCAATGCGAGTCAACAAGCCATGGCGGCCCCGGTGGCCACCAGTTGCTGCAGCCTGCGGGGATTCACTATTTTGTGACCTTGAGGAGCGGGATGCCATAGCGGACTGCAGCTTCTTGGAGTTGGGCTTCGGTGGCGCCGGATGACTGGAGGAGTTTGAGGATCTCATTGGCGGAGTCCTGGATGGCCTCATCGAATTGCTGATGTATTGGGCGTTCCATTTTGTAGGAACGTCGTCTTTCAACGATGGGTGATCGGGTTGAAGCACTTGGGCCAGGGTCTGTGGTTCTGAATCGGCCGGTGGCGTGGGCGCTGGCGTGGCCTGCGCTGCGGGGCCAGCCAGGCTGGGGGAGTGTCTGGTGGGTAGATGTCTCCCGCGCCGTCGAGGAGGTGGGCGCTGTGGTGAGAGATGTAAGCCATGTCCCTGTAGTTTTTTTGGGTCGCTGGAGTTCGGCCTCTCTTGTCATGTAGTCGGGCTGGTGCAATCCATGTCCGCGCAGTAAGTTCCGGGTCACGGTAAGGAAGAGATCCAGGTGGGCCCAAGGGTCGAGGAAATTCAAGATCGTGGCCTGGGATAGGGTGTACGGCGCCTGGTGGACGGCGTAACCAAAAGCTGGAACGCGGCAGACCAGTCCTGGAGTAGATCGTGTCCTGGAGGTCATCGACGCTGTAGGGGGCTTCTTCAATGCGGTTGATAGGAAGCGTCGCAGTGATGGTGCTAAGTGAAGTCTGCATCAACAGGCGGAGGTCCAGTTCAAAGCGTACCGAAAGCAAATGAGGTACATGTGAAAGTTCTTGGTACGGGTGTCGCAAGGCTTCGGAGTCGGCTTGAATCCGCTGGCGTGCGGGGTAAGGGAGACTGCGATGGGGAGCCGTCATGGGAGGAATGGAACGGTGGTAGTGGGAGCAACAACTGCAAGATTAGCCACAAAGTTTGAGCGAAAGGCTATGGGTGATCCTACCAAGAAAACATGGGGTCTTGGGAGAAATGGTTACTCGCAGGGTGGGAGCAGCGGCATGAGGGCCGGCAGCGCACTGTGTGTCGACAGAAAGGAAGGTCGGTCGTTGGCGAGACGAGGATCGTCAAAGTGAAGGATCATCAGCATCCTGCGTGTCAAGTCCAGCTGGATCTGAAGGAATGTAGAGCGTAGGCCCTTGAGGAGACAACGAGGATGGAGCTTGTGACATAGAAGCCGTTGCTGGGGAAGGCATAGTGATGTTGGATGTGTCCAGATACATAGGGGAGATCCGCAATACGAGCCGTCTGGTCGATGTGGCGAAGGCTGTAGTTGATGGATCGTAGACCGAATGAGCTGCTGCTGATCGCGAGGCGCCAATGTTTGGAGAAGAGGTGTGCCATCGAGCTGCATGGTCATCAGGTGTTGCGCGACCGAAGTGAGGTTCTCATCCACGGATGTGTCAGGGGAGCATTTCATGCCCCCTGGGCTCCTGAGGAGAGGAGAGAGAGGCTTCCTCGTGCAATTGCGTTGGTGCTCACAAAGGTCCCATATAGGTGCCGAGGCCGTGGCGGTGAGGACAAACTGCCAGTGTGTTGTCCAGATCCTATAATTTTGTGGCCAGAGTCCCATAGAGGTTGGACCAGTGTCTGGATGGAGGTCGACGTAGGTGCTGGGCTGGCCGACGAGGTCAGACAAGAGGTGAGCCGGCAAGTTCCCTGTGTGATTCCATTGGCGAAAAAACCACAGCTTTTGGTCGCCGAGCCATCGAGAGCACCATTCGTCCCATGGTTTGAAGTCTTTGCGCCGCTGGAACCAGGCTCGTTCATCACTGTGTTCAACAATGCGTCCTCCTGTTCGGAGTATAGTGGGCGAGTCGGGGGGGAGGAGGCGTGGACCAAGTGCCCCAGTGTGGTCCGTGAGAGTGAGCAGCTGCAGAAGGGTGTGGTCGAAGTAGAGGTCATCTCTTCCACTGGCAACACACTCAAAACGAGGCGAGTACGCAATGAAGTTTGAACGGCAAATAGCTGCGGGTCAAGGGGTTCCAATATTGATAGGAGCAAGGTGTGGATCAGGGAGGGATAAAGTGGGTCAGTGGGGGGGGCGTATGGACAGTGAATGATAGGCACCAAACAGTGGAGCGATAGCGACATTTGTTCGAGGATGGCTGCGGGGTGAAACGCGCCGGTCGCCAAACCCTGGTGGTGGCGGTCAGGGTTTCTCAGGAGCGACGTCATGGAGCAGGAGCGTCGGCGGAGGGTATTGCTGCCTGTGGAAGATCCATATAGAGGTAGTCGACGTCGTTGTCGACAAAGAAGGGCAAGACACGGTCGGGGCCGCCGTTGGAGGCCTGGTCAGTGATGTTATCTGAGGAGGGGCGATGGGTGCTGTCGCGGTGGGAGGACATGTACTCGATGGACGGCGTGACAAAGGAACTCGGTCAGGATGAGCCGGTCGAAGAGAGAGTGGCGGATCTGGCGCTCGAAATTTGCAGTCGGGTACCGAATCAAAGTGAAGCCAGATCACTGGCGGTCGAGGTTGATCTTGGCGTTGCTTGGGAGGGGGTGGGATGGCGCTGAGATGAGTTCGGAGCTGGTGTCGTCTGCTGGCGTCATGACAGGGGTTGCGCGATCTGGGGCGAGTGTGTGGTATAATAGGGACCGTGGGTGAGGGAGCTGAACTTGGAGCCGGAGGGCTGGGGTGCGTGACTGGAGAAGGGTCCCGTACTGTGGGATCGGCAGGAGCAAGTGGTGAGGGGACCACAAAGCCATGATTTTGGAGCAGCGTGGTAAAAGCCTGGCGAGCTTCCGGTGTGAGGGCAGCAACGGCTTGGAGAGCTTGATTCCATAAATCCAATGGTGTTGCCGTGGTAGGTGTCGCCGATGTAGAAGTACCTGGAGCAGTACATGCCGAGCGTCGCCATGGTGCATTGCGAATCGCTGGAGAGGGTGATGCAGTTGGGTCCGCCATGGCGTAAGCGGATGGAAAGGTGCAGTGACTCGCGGGGTAGAGCTGAGCGGAATCGTTGACTCGAAAGCTGGAATGTCTGCAGTGAAACACGAGAGCCGGAAAAAGTCATGGGGGTCAACCGTACAACATGGAAAGGTGGTGGAATCGCTGTGCAACTAGTGTATTTGACTGAGCCCGATCTAACAAAAGGCTGAGGGTTCAGAAGGCGCAGGTGAGGCTGTAGTTGTTTGACGTGGGGAGCGAGATGTGCGTCGTGGGCTGCCAGGAGGAGTCGGGTAGTTCAGAAAGTAGCAGAACGCGTAGCGAGCTTCTTGAGGAATTGCGGCCCATATGCGGTTGGATTCTGCAAGCGGCTCTGGGAAAGTGTCTATCGCAGGAGCTGCAGTTGAACTCGTCGTGAAGTCCCCACATGGAGGGCAGGTACTGGAGAGGTGGTACTGCTAGTATATGAGGTACACATTGAGGATTTGGGCGCAGCCATGGAAGGTGAATGGGGAACAGCAAGAGGCGGGGCCGTAAGTTTGAATGGAAACGGCTGCAGGGGAGGTGGGCAGGTCCGGGGAAAAAATTTTGGAGGAGGTGCAAGCCGCGGCGCGACATTCTTTTTTGCAAAAATTCTGTTCCGGGTGATGACTAAAGACACGGAGGAGTCTCCGGAAAACTGGCTACTGGATCCTGGCGACCATGTGTCGCTTGCCATAGGGAGGCATGGAGGCCGTCACGCCCAGCTGGAGAAGCGCTGTGGGAGGTAGTGCGGCTGGAAGTGGTCCATGGTGTTGAGGTCGAAGATGTTTCCGTACGAGCCGGTGGGGTACGGGAACGAGCACGGGATGCACTGAGCGGCTGAGGGTTGACATCGCTGTGTTGTGGTGTGGGCTGGAGCCAAATAACATCCCGTGGAAGAGCTGTAGGCGGACGAGCTCGTGGTGGTTGAGGGTCTGGAGGAAGACGTGGAGGCAATGTGTCCATGTATTGGACGTCTTCTCGGCCCCAGGTGCGAGTGAGGCTAGTTCATCATGAGGGATGTCTTGAACTTGTCGAAGAGCGGTGCGAAATCGATCTCGTAGAATGCCGAGCTCGAGGAGAACAATACGAAATTCGCGGTAGTGGTGGAAAGTTTCGCACGGTTCTTGTCTTGGAGTCGTGGAATGTAGAGAGAGAGAAATATTTCGTGTTGGTGTAGTCGTTCACGTCGGCCTCCCAATCGAAGGGGGTCCACTCCTCCAGGTCTTTGAGGTCGATAGCCTTGATGCCTGCGTTGGTGAGGACCTTGGCCACGTACTCCAGCATGGTTGAATTGGGTGGAGCAAGCTGATCGCATTGGTGGTGGAGGAAGTGAAGTATGCGTTTGTGGGCGCTGGTTCCATAGGTCTGCTTGGCCACATTGCGGTCGGTTGTGGTGTAAGGGCTGGGCGGTCGGCGAAGTGGGTCTTCGAGTTCTGGAGGCTTGACTGCTTTGGGGGGGAGTGGGTGTGAGATTGGGGGGGGGACAGCCACGGTGTCTGAATGTCTGGGAGTGGATGTAAGCGTGTCTGAATGCCTGGGATTGGGAATGAGTTGAAGTGGTTGACGGCGTGGGGAGCGATTGCCCAAACTCCTCGCAAGGGTGGAGGGTGAGATGGCGGCTGGCCTGTGAGCTGGGCGTTGGGGTGGACCAGGAATCGGAACGCGGCTGGCAGAACTCTTGGAAGTGGTGGTGGGTTGCTGGCGAATGGAGGTCCGGGGGTACGTTGTGCTGGCGCCGCAGTGGAGGCCGGACGTGGGGGAGGATGTGTGCGGGAACGGTAACGTTAATGGATGGTGGGCGAGAGGTCGTGGCCTTGGCCTTGGTAGGCGTGTTGGGGGAATCGTGGGGTTGGATGTTGTGGGAGCGCCAACAGAATTGGAGTGGTATCCGTGGTGCCAGTGGGTGGGGTTGAGACTGGAGCGGCATCTGGAGACGTGCTGAGTGGGGTGGTGAGTGGCGGCGGTGGAGTCGGTGAAGGAGTCGGTGGTGCTGTGGGAGGAATGGCAGGCACGGTGGGTGTTGCCGGGGGGGGAACTGAGGGATTGTTTTCATGGTGAGCTGGTACTGGTTGAGAAGACTCAATAGGGGAGCCTGTGCGCAGCAGCCTGTGGGGGGGATCGCTTGTGGCCAGATGTGTGAGTGGGGTGGTGATGTAACAAGCATGGCTGGTAAGCCCCAAGTTGTAGTGGGGTCGGGCTGTTGAAGGGGATGCAACTGAGTCGAAGTGGGGATGGATTGGATCGGAGGTGGGAGCTGAACGATGTGGGCAGCAGGCATAGGTCCAAGCTGAGGTGGTCAAAGTCGATGTGTACTGAAGAGGTGAGTGGCTCATATGCGGTTGAAGCTGAGGGACTTGAAATTGCATTGCTGCTGGCATCGATCCATAAGGATCCGAAGGAGCCGTCAAAGACACGTGCATGCATGAAGATGTAAATCCGGATCAGAGTTTGAGTCTCAGTGAGCCCTACGGCGTAGTATCAGTGGTATCGAGCAATGACAGGCAAGTCAGAAGGAATCGAACGAAATGCCAAGGTGGAAGCAATCCCCAGGATCTGGGTCTATGCACATGCAGCGCCCCTCGGCGGGGATCACACCACAGCCCTCAGTGGGACTCTGTGGCGATACACACTTAGACGGTTGCTCGCAAGAGCTAGGATCGGTACGAAGTCCCCCTTGACTGGAAGAAAAGTGTACGAACCGAAAGGCGAGGAAGTCCGTAGATTTAGACGTGTTGAACAAGTTGTTTTGGCCCACTAGCGGCTTACTGCAAAAACACAGAATTAGACAGCTCGGTCGACAGTTCCACCGGCAATCTTAGCAGGTACGCCTGGCTGATCAGGCCAGATATCCGCATGTGCTGTGGCCGCTTCGTTGGACCATCGCTCACAGCACATGGATGGTCCCCCTGCTGCTGTATACTAGGGAGTTGTTGGAAACAGTCCAGAAGTAAAAGGATCAGAACAAACCTTAGAGACAAGCGTTGACACACACACACACACACGCCCACACACACATGTGCCAAAGACACGCGCAAACCACACAACAGGAGACTAGAAACTGCAATAAACCGTCAAACCTGACAAGCTGTTCCCAAGAATATCCTTTCTTCGGACACGACAAAGTGGCCATGCAACACTGCCTGGTTCACCGACAAGCACACCGATTGCTCAGCGCTGGTCAAAGCCACTAGACGTCCATCAGGTCGACCACAAGCCAACAGGCTACCTCGAACAACACGATGGGTCATTCGATGCACCAAGTGGTCCGCAGGGTTGGCTGAGAAAACGGCGAGCGCCGTGGCCGAGTAGGTGCACGCAACGAGCTTTGACAAGAATGCTTCAACACATTGAGCCACCCAAGGCACATCTCCAATCACCACTGTCCGCCCGGTCATCCTGTGGAGCAATGGTCGACACTGCAGCAACCGGATGCAAAAAATCATGATCTGCGGCAGGAAGATGTAGATCGCAGCATCTAAAGCTCTGGCGACATAAAGCAATTCCTGCCAAACTTGGCAAAACTAAGCACATGTTACAAAATGCATTTAGAGACTTCTAAGCCCAAACCCCAAATCACACCAGCGAGTCTTCAAACCCAAATGACCTGCGGGACTTTCTCATAGAGCCCAGCTTGCGTAGTAATGGCTGTGATAGGTGGTATCCCACAGGTCACCGTGACCGCCACGTACGCAGCGCACAAGATCCAAGCTCGTGGCGTCTCAAGCACATGCTGCGCCCACGCTCGGCCTCTCCTGGAGCGTTTGCAAGACTCTTGTAAGACTCTTGTTCTTGGGCTGCAAGGACACAACAAGCTAGGAGACATGACCAAGACTGCAGCGAAACGCAGCACATGTCGAGACACCCAAACACACCAAGGCTAGCAATTGAAAGGCCAAGCAGGCGGCGAAACGAAAGGGACCAAGCGGTCCAAGGGCAGGATATAGGAATTCTAAACTAGGAGCTAGGCGAACTGGGGAAATCCATGCTTCTTTGAAGTTTTTTTTAAACATTGCCAATTCATGTCTGGTTTGCCGAATCCGTGTGACTTTACTCAGAAAAGTTGGGACCCATGTCACATTATCAATCATGTCCAAACATCTGCTTCTGCTTCGCGTGCTGGCAGAAGCTGGAACCATGACAGTTGTCACTCAGGATATGCTTGGACATGTATTCTGCTTTTTATACTTTTGGGAACACAAACTGAATCTGGCTAGTTCAGTTGCAAGTGGCATCTACCTGCAACTTGCAGCTTGAGGTGGGATTGATACTCACCTCGGGCCGACATCTGGAGGCCAGCGTGACTAACTCTTGATTGACCAGTGATGTCACGTTTCCTTGCCGAGTCCTGCGAAGCTCTCGCTCAGTCTTTGACATCGACTTGTGGTACCCGACGATCTCCTGCAACGCCTCACTTCTGTCCGGCAACAAGGCAAAAACAACTAGAGCTTGCGTTCAGTATCAATTTGGGCCTCAATAGTCTTGGTCGATACTCTTGGTCACTGGCAAGGTTTTGGCTGACCCCACAGAAAACAACATGGACTTCACAAACCTGAATGCACACATGTGCTCGAAAACAAACGGCCAAACATTTTTTGACAAGCTTGTAGGACGCTCTGCTGGGGTACTTTTGTGGGGCACTCTTGTAGGTCACTCTTGTAAGCCACTTTTGTGGCACAGTCTTGAACCCTCCTTTGGCACATTTTGGTGCATTCGTAACGGGACAATCTTGTAGGGCACCTTGCAGCGCACTCTTGTAGGGCACTTTTGTGGCATGTGGGGAAACTCTCTTTGGGGACGTTTTGGGGCACTGGTGTGGGACAATCTTGTGGGACACTCAGGTGAGGCACGCCTGGCAGGTCACTCTTCTAAGGCATTCTTGAGGCACACTCTTGTGGTACAACTTTTCTTGGGCTCTTGTAAGGCACTCTTGTGGCGCAGTCTTGCAGGGCACCCTTTTGGGGAAAGTCCCCACGTGCACGTTTTTGCCTAGACGCTGAACACCGGACCCGTTTTTACATGTTTTCGACGTTGGTCATGTCATGGCATGACGTTGTTGATTCGCGCGTCTAGGACATTTGCCGGTTCAGTAACCAACCGTTCGGCAACTACGCGAATCAGAAACTACGTTTCAGCATCTATCCGATTCTGCAACCACGCGTCGGCAACCGCACAGTACGATTCAGCAACCACGTTTCAGCCACTACGCCATTCAGCAACTACAATGACAATGACCGACGCAGCAACCAAACTGCACGATTCAAGAACGCCGTTGCGGTTTCCAAAGCATTTGACATGAAAAGCCTGTAAACAGCGTGCGGTTTCCAATCCGCGTGGCCATTTTAGATGTTTTAGACACTCTTTTGGGACAATCTTGTGGGCCACTCTGGTGGGGCACCTGCAAGGCACTCTTGTAGGAGATTCTGGTGGGACACTCTTCATTTGCACTCTTGTGGCACTCTCTTGTTGGACACTGTTGTGGCATAGTCGTCAATGTTTTCTCCTTCGACACGTTTTGGGAAGCTCTTTTTGGGACGCTGGGCATTCTTGCACATTTCACTCTTGTGGGTCACTCTTGTAGGATACTCTTGTTGCGCCATCTTGGGGGATACTCTTGTCGGACTCTCGTAACAGGACACTCTTGCGGAGCATTCTTTTGCGGCCACAAATGATCCCGTTCACCAGCGACCCGCTGCATTTACAAACGCATGTTTCCGGTCCCTACTGGCACAAACACACGCACATGCGCACGCATGCCTCCCGTTGCCCACTGGCCACCAAGGCCGCGCAAATCCGCATGGCGCCTCGACGTCGGCATAATTTCACCGCACTGCAACCATGTGACATGCCACCACCCATCCCGCTCACCAACGCCACACCGCGCTTTCACACGCATGTTTCCCTTCCCCCATTGGCATGGAACATTTTTGCCCCACCGCATGCCACTTCTGAGCCTGGGCCTCCCAGAACTCAAAACCTGGACCTACTCCCCACACCACTTCTGTACTGGACAGCCCCAGAGTCTTGCAGCGCCACATTTGCAAAAATTCTGACCGCGGGGCTCAAACGACTCCCTCCAAAATTCACATGTGAACTCTCCAAAAACAGCGTTTCGCGTGCCTCCAAAAGTTACACAGCAAGTCTTCAAAACAAGCGTTTCGCGCGAGACTTCGTTCAAGAAAAGTTCAAGCCTCGAAAACGAGCATTTCGCACGACGCGCCCCCCATGACAACTCTCCAACACGAGCACTTTCAGCCTTATCAGAGAGAACACATCAAGCAGCCCTGCCAAGCAGTTTCGCAATCCCAGCCCCTCAAAACCACAACTGCTGACATGCAAACCCACTGGCGCAGCGACGTTCATCAGTTGGCCAAGCTTGTGCAGTAAGGTGGTCAGCAATCGGACATGTTGAGCTCATGAGTCCGCCATCAAGTGCGAACTGTCAAAACGAACATCACATCACTCTACCAGAAGCCTTCGTTACGCATTCGGGAAAAACACAGGCATGATGTCATCACTGAAAAACAACAAAGTGTGGGCGCAGCACTAAAACAAACATCCCAAATAAACAAAACGTTCGGCGTCCTGTGTTTCTATGTCTTGTATTTTTGTTCTTTGTTCTTGTAGAATTCAAAACAGCCTCACTGCCCCAAACCGCCCCCTGCCTCGATGTTGGTCCGATTCACATGCTCCAATTCGGCCAAATCTGTCCGAGTGATCACTGGTCCAGCGCTGTCTTTCACATCATCAGACAAAATGCGGAAGGCCAAGTACATCAGGATCTGAAGAATCAGGCACGAGTCATGAGAAGCGTTGACCCGTGCGGAAAGAAGTGCACCGGGAATTCAGAGGAGACAAAGAGGGGTTGCGATGCTCTGCGCTGTGGGAGGTGAACATACATGAACCTTGGAAGAATTTCCGAGACAATGATAAGCGAGCAAAGCAGTTTTCCAAGCATTTCCACGGGTCTCTTGGTACCTTTGCAACGCAAAACCGAACTCATCGAACTGCGAGAAAAACAGTGCGACGCCCGCCACGCCTGTGTCAGCAGCTGCTGTGTCGCGGCGACGGAGACGGAGCAAGGCTCAGCGGGGCGCCTCGCAAAGCGACAGAAGTGACCGATACGATGCTACGACTGGACCAAACAAACACGGAATTGAAACGGGCGACAAACAGTTACGGTGGTTTCTGTGGGTTTCAAAACGACCGGGTTGCCAGCACTTTTCTCTCAGTTTGCCGGGTTTTGTGTAGTTTGTGTAACTCTGTGACAGCCCAAACCCATGGATTTCTTGCACCTCCAGCAACTGACAAACAGAGCTTGCAATCGACTGCGTTGTACACAACTTTGACCCGTCCCTCTGTGAGACCAACAACCCATCGACATAGCACCATAGAGCACGGTGAACAAAGGGGTTGAAGATGAATCCATCAAGAAAAATGCCTATCTTGTGCTACTGTTGTGCTTTCAAACTATATTTTGTTATGTTTTGTTACTTGCTGTCCAAGCTACAGCGAGATGTTTGTGCTGAAGACATGGCTGTAGGTCCCAAGCGCGCGAAGCTGCTTACCAATCTGTGTATCCCACTCGGAAGTCACCACAAAAATCCTGGATGCGCAAAAAACAATAGCTCCACTAGGAACACATGGTCTTCAGAAAATCAACACTAAACAAACCCATCCCCATCTAGATAGACAGATAGATGGATGGATGGCGCCGGAGATTGCAGTTGCTTAAGTTGGCTCGCGCAGTGGCCATTTCAAAAGCGGGCCCCCAACCTCTTGGTCACGGCTTGGAGCAGTTTGGACACTGCCAATGATGCAAAAGTGCCCCCTGAATGACTGATGATGAGCACCACGCAATCGTGAAGATCCCAATTGTCGGAGAGGTCATGCCCCGTCTGGCACATCGAGAACCTCATCGCCGCGGCAAAACTTCAACATGGCTCTTTGCGCGGATAGAGCACGATACAAGGAACGGCCCGAAGGAAGGGCACCAACGCAAGGGAGGGTACAAAAACAAAAAAATCATCCCTCAGTATCCGTCCGTGCAACTTTGCCTAACAAGCTAGTTCATCAGTACATGAATGCAATCTTTGCCCAGTTACCACAATCAGGGCTCTGTCCACAAGAGAACCTATAGAGCATAACAAGCAAGTATTGACCCCCACAGAAAATAGCGCAAATGGCCCGGATGATTTCACTGGGATTTTGGTGGATGGGAGTGTGCTGAAAACGTGACATAAACGTGAGCCCTAAAGACTCCTTTTCGTGGAAATTGCTCTCTTTATTACTGTAATGAAACTCCGCCACATCTCCAAGCTGCTGCTGACCACTAAGCCCCAGCAGTTTGTTGGCAGAGACGGTCCTCACGTTCAAATGCTTGAAGCAATGCGCCAAGTCTGTGGCAAACTGTTCACCAAGCCACAAGCTCACCTGTCAGGCGAACAAATGTTGGGCAACGCGCAAATCGCCTGTGAAACTGGAACCCTCTAATAAACACTGCTGCTACCCCGTTCACAAGCCTAGAAAGCCTAGAGCGAGGGTTGTGGACAAGGAGGCTAATTAATCTCTTTTGACACGAACTAACATCGATGCACAGGAACCCTCTATCAGCTCCTCATTTCCCCCAATCTCTTTGAATTTAGACTTGGTTCCAGCCAGGCAAACCTGCCTTATGTTCATCCCACCAATCAAGAAAGATGATTCAATCAATCCAATCCAAAGAATTGGGCCATACCGGTCTAATGGTTAGTCGATGGCTTTCTAATCCTCAATGACGGGACCAGTCTCACACAACCATCCAACTGTCTCTGGTTCCTATCCCTGGCGCCTCACAGCCTGTGACGAGAAGGTCAATGCCATCTGGCGCGCTTTGCCCACTCATCTTCTCACGCAATCTTGCAAGAAGGGCTCTACTCAATGACCTGAGAAGTACAGCAGTAACTGGTTGCACGCTTCCGCCAACACATCCCTCGCAGTAATCTAGGTTTGTCTTGGAGCGCCCCCACTACCCTTTGACAGTTTCAACTGAGGGCTTTGTTTGTCTTCGCTTTGTCTTCTTTTAGTCCCATTTGGATTGCGCTTTAACCCATTTGTTGCCTGAGAGAGAAGATCATAAGTCCCAACAAGCCAACTGGACGGAGTACAAAACGATGAAACCCTATCAATCTTAGTTTGGGGTGCCCTCAACCGTGTCCATCGCGATTCAATTGTGTGTTTGACACTACACTGCGCTGACCGAGGCTGAGAATGGCTAAGATGAGAACGAGGGGCATGGCCGAAGCGCGGTTCTGGCCTTCTCCCATGCGCCAATCTGTCTGGATGTTCTTGAGAGCTTGCGGGATCTCTTTGATGTCGTTTCCAACGGGATCAGGAAGCGTCTTTGGAAGCGGCAACACCAAAGGATTTTCTTCAAGAGGAACGAAAAGCTGCGCCATAGACGAGAACGGCTTGTCGTTCACGGAGACCACCTTCAACTTGCTCTGCATCATCGGTTGAACTGCATAGAAAGGGAGTGTTTCACCTCAGGTTGATGGTTGATGCTAAGATCTTTAAGTACCATTTCAAACACTGAACCCAGTCTGCGACCAGTTGTGCAGTCTCAGTGTTTGGCACCGAAGTTATCCATAACCGCAAATTTGTAATTTCAACCTACCAACAGCCTTTTTGAGACTCGACCCATCTTTTTCTCGCAAAAACTGGTTGGGACGTTGCAGATTTGAACCTTGATCGTGCATACACATACGCACATACTTTGAAAATGCCCAGTTTCAGATTCAACAATTATGCGATGATGCGAGATCTAGAAACATCTTGTCAACATTGTGGGTGCGACAGTGGGAAATAAGCATGCTTGCTTCTTGATTAGGAATACGTGTCGCAAGAATCCTGGCTGTGGCGTAAAACAAGTCTCTCACCTATGTAGCCTATACGGCATTTCATCTTATTGAATCGCTACTGTTCAGTGAATCAACTGGGGCCAGGGAATTTAAGGATGCAAGTGGCCACAAATGCTTGTGCAGTTCATAACGTCTCTGGACTGGAGTCAAATCAATTGTCTATAGCTCTTGCAATGTTTTGCCAAGAATTCTATTAAAACTGCGTGGAAAAGGAACAACCATGCTTCGACTTCGGGCTGTGAAAGTGGAGTTTCCGTCGATTGTCATGGCATTTGCCCAGTTCACCTTGTTTCCAGCGGCAGTGGTTTAACGAGCACCATGGAGCACCATGCTCTCGCTCTTGTTGCAGCTGTGAAGGGTTTTTGTTTCTTCAGACTTGGCGGGTGGCACTTCCTGAGTTGGGGAGGTGACATGCAACGTTGCGCAAAGAGGGGCACATATTTGTGGTTTACCAATATTTTGAACCCTACTGTCCAATGGAACATTTAAACAATTTTGAACATGCGCGTCCATTATATACTTGAGGCTCAAATTTTTGCCTTTCCCCACAACTATCTCAAGTCGCTCGAGGCTGAGGGCAACCCATCTCCCCAGTCCAGCAAGCAAATTTCACCCGCAAGATCGTCCAAATCATAGCGCATTGCAGGGCCGTCATTCACCTGGATAGGTCGATCCCGATCAAAGACCCCCTGCTTGCTTTCAAACAAATTAATCTTTTCTCCTTTAAAACACTGGTGGGCCCGGTCAGCCCACCCACCGACGTGAAGCTGGACAAAGTTGTAAACGATGCTCTGCCCTCAAAGTATGACTTTAGATGAAGAAACACATATCAAAATGCACTTTCCAAATTGGAAATTCAGCCGAGCTCACCAGCGAAGGAGCACCGCTGATTCGCATCCGCGTGTCATCTCTGGAGTTACATGCTAGGCTTGGCCTGCGTGGCTTCCGCATCACCTTGACGTGCGCTGATACGAGCGTTGCGACATCTGCGCGTTCCACATCGTTCTACCCTTTAGCCCTTTGTCCACTATCGTTTTCTCATGTTATATTCTCCACAACAAAAAATGCACACGGAACACAAAAATCCACATATTTGAATGGAACCCTATGTTAATTCAACCACCCAAATGGCTACGAACCAATTACCCAGTCACGCCATTAATTTCCACATAGTGCTTCGTAGGGGAGAGATCCTTTGAAAATCTTCTCGGGGGCAACGCCTTTGGCAGTGACACTGTGCTGTCCTGCACGATTGCAAACATGTTTTCTCCAGTGTTTTTGGGGCCGTGTCTTAAAATAAGGCAAGCTGTGAAATGAGTCAGCAAACCCTGTGTGGGTCTCCAGATGGGAAGAGATGTTCTCTCCTGACTTGTCATGCGATCAAAGGTTGCAACCGGAAGTGGAACCTCGTCTTCTTCTTCCTCTTTCCCAGGCAGCCTCACTCCTACGGCAGCCTTCATTGCTGCCTGTTCTGAACCATAGAGCACCATTCCACTCTGAGGATAGAATGCCATGGACATCGTTTGCCCTCGCGCTGCTATGATCATTTGTCGATCGGCGTCCAGGGAGCAAGTGACGCATAGGCCGAAAGAGCCTCAATGGGCATTGGACCAAGGTATTTAGACAAGGAAACACCAAGCCAAACTTTCCTCAACCCCCGCAACCCTGGCCTTTCGCCTTCTTCATAAAGAGTGAAGTTGCGTGAAGCAAGTCGTTGTCAAAGAAGGCATCAATGGCAGCTGCTGCCATTGCTCGACCGTCTCGGTCACTCAAGCTCAAGAGTCCGCTTCTCTTCACCTGAGAAAGGCCAAAGTGACCCCAAGGTTGTTCAAATCGCATTAGGCGCTTCCTGATGCTTGAGTAATTAGGCACGTCAACAAATTATGTCCCCAAAAAACTGACGTTTGTATTCCTGAACAAGTTGGAACTCAGTCAGCCCACAATTACATTCGGTAAACCTCCTGTTGAATAGTCTGAGAATAGCCCTAAGCCGAAGCCGGCGATTGCCAATCCATAGTCGCCTGTTGAAAGTACTCCTCGGCCATCTGCTCTCGTTCAGGCTCCAATAAAGAGAGCTCAATGTCTTCTGGCACCCAGCCCTGAATTAACCTGGGTGGCTGTGGGGCACCTCCTTTGTATCCCTTCAAGTCAACGTTTTCTAATACTTGACTTTGTTCGATTTGATTGTTAAAAAAGGAAGTCTGTGGACATCCTGTTGACAGCTAAAAGCGGTCTGCGGTACACTCCTTTTGTGCGTCATGTTGTTGACATGTACCTCATGAATCCGTTCACTCTAGATTCGCGTTCCTCCTTCGGGATCTGAGTGCCTTCAAACTGGCCCCGACTCAGGCCTGGGATCCATGAACTCAAAACATTCTTCCATGGGCTGGCACATGTCGTTTGCCTGCTCATGATTGTGGGCTCTCACAGCATGGTGCCATGTTGCCTGATTTTGGCAAACTCCTGTCGGGCCTATTGTAGGGCCGATTGTAAAACTTGAACTTTGCTTCAGGAATCTCCATGGGTTCAGGCTGCCACATCTCAGGCTGTTCCGGTCCCACCTCTGGTGTTGTTGTGCCCTCCATCAAACCTGGACTTGGTTCTGGTTCAGGCGTGGCATCATGTGGAGACAAACCCCTAAATACTCGACTGTCCAGCAAGATCGTAGCTGCGTCTCCACTCAGCATAGGGTCACACTCCCTCGAGGTTCTGGATCATCCAAGGAGCTGCGATTTGGGTTTTCCTGCTCCCTTCTTCGCCGATTGACCACATCCCACTGCACTTGTAGACGTAGCCCTTCATGTTGTCGACTCACCTTCTCCAGGTATATAGCGCAAACAGTCCCACTCAAGATTCTGCGTAGAGTGCTCTTCCACAAAGCCTCCCCTGTAGACATAGACCACGTCTTGTCCCACTCTCCAGCTGCATTGATGTTGTTCTGTACTTGGACATCCAGTTCATTCTGCGTCTGGCGATCTCGTCCTCCAAGACCCTCAACCGTCGCCAAATCCAGCAGCCACCCATGACCACCGCCATGATCACAATGAGGTAGACGAACTTTTGCAGGTAGTTACTGCACTCTGACGTCTGGTTCCACCCTTGCGCCACCCTTGCGCCAGTAGCCGACTTAAGACCGCTAACCAAGACCAGCCCGTTCAGATATTTTGGAATCTTCATGACCTTGCCCTTCTCAATGCGCTGCTCATTGAACTGCTCGATCTCATGTTCTCGCGCTTGCAGCCAGTAGAGCAACAACCTCAATCTGCTCCTTGACAAGGGTTTTGCGCCGATGTCTGCCAAATAGCGGGCTGTCCCAATCTGTCGTACTTCCAAGGCACCACCCCACCTTCTTGGCACCAAAGTAGTTTTCCACTCACATGCCTCAACTTCCCTGCTCCGCGCTTGCGCGCAATCTGTCTTGTAGAAGATTGTCCACCCGACAGATGCGATGCACTTCATCGCCTGTGAGGAACTGCTGGCTGTGCTTGAGACAGATGCCGTCACAAGCGCCAGAAACTAACGCATGGAGTTCGCTCTCGGCTGATGAGACATTGACCTTTTGTCCTCTGGAGGAGCAGTGTGCCGCGCCGTTGACCGTGTGAACTGCTGAAGACGCACTTTTCCTTGTAGCGCAATTCTCACCCCAATCTGCGTCGGTAAAGGTCTTCTCCGGCCACATTGACTCGTTCCACTCTTCTCTCAATCATCACTGATCTTGAAGCTGATGAATGTTGTCCCTCCTCCTCTGGCCGGATCACATCTTGTTGGCCTTTGTTTATGAGCGTTGGATCCCTGTCAATCTCCCCAGCCTTTGTATACATGAAATGACAGGAATGCCGCCCAGCCTTGACGCTTGTCCTGCTTCTTGCGCAAAGGCTGTGATGATCGGCTGCTTACGGGGGAGCTGCCTGCATCTGTGCTGCAGTCGCTGCTTCTGCTGCCGCCTTGAGTTCAATCCCCCTTCATATGATTGAGCCGTCTCTGGTAACATTTACTTCGACTGCCAGATATGTTCCCTCAATGCCATGGGCTGCTCGTCCAACTGGTTTGCTGGGTGAGAACGGTGACCAGCAGGACATTCTCTTTGATCCCATCTATCTCTACCTCCTGATTGAAGTAGAGGCTGCCAACCACCAGCGATCTTTGCCAGAATTGTTCTCTTCCAGCTCACAGTTGATGGGATGTCTTCCACGTTGTGTCACATACTGCGGACTCTGAAAAACTCGGGACAAATGGATCCTGATCCACTTTGTCCTCGAACTTCTGGCATCCAACCTGGTATCTATAGTCTTTTCCTCGAAGTCATCCTTCAGCTTTCCTTCGGGAACGCGAACCATGTCTGGCTCCATCGAGATTGTCCGTACAGATCCTTCAGCCACCAGACTCTTCTTCTTCTGCAGGCGCAACGGGATCCGGATCTCTCGATCACCTGCGCCATAGAACAGAGAATGATCTGCAATTTCCCAGCCACTTTCCACAAGCGCCCAAACAACAAGATAGGTTGGGCAACACCTTCAGAAAACTCAAAAAAACTGAGCTTACTCAAACACTCAAACACTTGGACCTCCTTGCCACCCTCTGATTCAAACACAAAGCAAACACTCTTGTATCCCTGTATTGCAATGCGTTCACCCTAAGCGTCCTCTAAGATAACCCATCACCATCAATCTCAACTCCAGCTGAAAGAAAATGAAGCTGGAAGCACCGTGACATCAGCTGCAGAGTCCACTATGGTCCAGCATGGCCCACGCTGACCTTGGGCCACTTCACCATTGCCGTCTCGAACCATCATGATGTTCAAACCCTCACCAGTCTGCATTCCCCTGTGCTCACCGTCCAGGTGGTAGAACTGAATCATTCTCACCTGACCATCCTTCATGCTGTCCCTCAGGTCAAATGCCAGGGGCTCATCAAATTCTTGTGAAACTGGGCTCAACTCCACAATACGCTTCACTGCAGCAGTAATGGCCGTCGTAGCCTGACTTCCACTGGTTGTTGATGTCCACGTTGATGAAGCGTCACCTTGACTCTGCTGCTGCTGTTGTAAGTCTTCACAGGGCCACCATCTCCTTTGCCTTTCTGCCCCTTGCGCTGGTTCTTCCCTTGGCCATAATCTTGGCCTTTCTGCTGGCCCTTCTGTTCGCTCTTCGAATTCTTGGCATCTCCGTTGCCCTTTCCTCTGTTGTAGGTGTCCTTTGCCTTGCCCTTGGTCTTGCCTTCGTCCCCTTTCTGTGCGACGCAGTCGATCTCCATTGGTGCTGCGCCGCCGCGCCATGGCCCCAACATCATCGTAGAGCTCCACTTCAATGTAGCGTTGTCATACTGTATCATTGCTTCTCGAAGTCAATTATAGTCTTGACCCCCTGCTACATTGAGTTGCAACCACGTCTTCGATTGGCCGCTCACGCACTTCATCAAAATGGCAAATCTGATACTGTCCTCAAGTCTGGCGCCTGTCTTCTCATATTCAATGGAGCCCTCCTTTGAGACGTAGTAGTTGTCCAAGAAAGCAACCTTTCTTCATATCGAACTGCCCCCATTCCAAAATCACGAGCGATTTTTGCTTGCTGGCTCAAATGACTGGACCAGCAACCGATAAGCTTCCACCCATTGGCCTCCTTGACCTGCTTGATGAGGGACAGTGGTCTCTGCCTGACCAGTGAAGCCAGGGAGGCATAGAGGAAGGATCCACGTTGTGGTTCTTCATCTCTCTGGCTGGAAGGATCAATGGAGCCTCTGAATGGTCTCTGAACCCAGGGTCCCAATTAAGCAATGCACTGCTCAAGCCCCCAACTAAAATCCATCCTGGCTTTGGCAACGCTCGAGGCCATGACTTGTCCTCCAAGTTGTCTTTCTTCGCTATGGCCTCTGCAGCCAGCCTTGCTGCTAGGCTCGCTGACTCCGCATCCTCATAGCCAGTTCTTGGCCATCAACTTGTCCACCTGTAGGAGATCCAGCCGCCTGTGAAGCTAAGGGTGGTGAGCCAACGGCCTCTCCATATGTTCTCATCTTCTGTCACACGGGCGTCCTTGGTGTTCGTGACGTAGCCACCAATGAACTCCACCTCCAAGGACCACAGCCATTGATTGCTGAAATAGCGTGGAAACGCCCCACCCGGTTGGGTCCTGCCCGGATCAAAGGATTCCCTGAGCCTGCGGCAAGATCTATGAAATCACCTTCCCGGGCTCCGCTACCATGCGGAAATCCCTTTGACAGCAAAAAAGCGGTCTGCGGTACACTTCTCGTTTTGTGTGTCATGTCTTTGACATGTACCTCATGAGTCCTTTCACTCTAGATTCGCAAAATCGAAGACATTGGGCTACTCATCCAATTGAATTAGTGAGATCGTTTTATGTCTTTACATAGACATAGTCAAGATGTTGAGAGAAAAGGCCAAATGTCGCGTGCCTACTTTGACCCTTTGCTTTCATGACACCTTTTTCAACAAAACATGTGGCAAAACACTGTGAGCCAGCTGACCTGCCAAATGAAAAGGCATTCCGGGCAACGTGTGAAAACAGGCATCTCAACATACGTCCACAGTAGCTTTGTTGCTTGCGTGTTTTTCCTGCAAATCCAGGAGCCTGAAGCATACACCACAAATACCGGAAGGTATGTCTCAAAATGGATCAATCATTTGCTTCGGGGGATTTCGTAGGTTGCTGGACAGGCCCACTGTAACTGCTACAAAAACAATCCCAAGCTCTGCCAAGCCTAGCAGCTGGTCCATGATGTCACCCAATTGCTTG